CAACTACAGAATAACACTGTGTAGTCCTTGGTCCTGCCTCTTCTCACAGAGATGTCTTCCCTATACAGGGTCCTTCAAACCATTTGTCCTCTCTCTCAGGCCTGACTCCCTTGAGAATGACATGTACTACTTTCCCTAAACTATTCTTACACAGGAGATGCATTTGATTCAGAGGATTAAAACATGCAAGAAAAAAGGACTCTCAATTTTTTTTTCCTGGTCTGTGAAAGTGATTATCTTTCAATGCTGCGTTTTGTGCTCCTATAAAGCTGGAAGAATCAAATTGATACACATTAGCAGCCTTCTTCTTTAATTTTTATCTTGCACCTGTGGAGAAAAGCAGAATATTCCCAGGCTTTTCCAAAGGGCATCTGGAAGGGCTGGTTGGTTTGACTCTGAATCTCAGATGAACACTACACTTGTATTTTTTTTTTAATCATAAGACATTAATGCAGATTAGCAGAGCTTTGCAAATATTGCTGCAGAAGATAACAGCTTGTCTCATCATTTTAGCATATTTGTCTGCTCATTTAACAAGTTCATCCATCTCTAACTCTGGCAAGCTTTACTTACAACCTCCAAATATCAATGTGTTAGATATTTGGAACCCAGATACAATTCATTACAGCTCATGTATTAAAATCACAATACAGTCGTATATCAAACCAAGAATATTAGAGATATGACTTGGCTGCTGACTTTCTCAGGGTTTCTTCAACTCTCACTCTTGCCACACATTCAAGGTGCTATATTGATAGTTGCAAATATAGGATAGTAGATTTTATGGTAGTTCCAAGCTCCTGGCGGCCCAGCAATGCCACAGGTTGCCGGGGGCTGCTTTGCTGCCCTGAGGAAGCTGGGCAGCAACAGAGCCACAATGCCTGGCGTCGTGACGTAGGAAGGGGGCAGAGCCAGCCTGGATAAATGGCCAGGCTCCGCTCCTACCCGAAGTCAGTTGCTCCGATGTGCTCAAGCCGGTAACAGCTTGGAGCATGCAGGGAGTGAAGGCTAGGGCCTTTGAGGTGGGCCCAGGAAGCAGCAGGCTGCGGCGGCAGTGGCCAGAATATTGGGGTCGTGGCGGCGGCAAGAATGTTGGGGCCACGGCGGCGGCCTGGGCATCAGGCTGCAGCAGCAGCCAGAACATCAGGGCCATGTTTGCGGCTGGAGTGTCAGGGCCGCGGCAGCAGCTTCATCCTTGGGACCGCGGCTGCGGTCTGATCTGCAGGATTGGGAGACTTGCGGCTGCAGGGCAGCTCGCCGTGGTGCCTCACCATCTTAATTAAAAAGAAAAGAAAAGAAAAATACGCGCACACACACAAAAACGCACCCCCGTTTAGGCTGGGGGGGAACATTAGAGGGTGTGGGTGGCTGCAGTTGGTGAGGCTGCTTAGTGCCACCCCCCCTCATAAGTTTTCCCCACAGTACGGTGACCTGCTCGTCAGGGCCTTGCTCTTGGCCCCCTCCCCTCTATATCTGCATTTTGGCACCGGGGTCTGGGTGGCTCATAACTATCCCCACCCCTCCTGTTTAATTGGGGGGGGGGGGTTCCGGTTATTGGGCCAGGGTTCATAGGCCTTCCTTGCAACCTGCCTCTCCAGTGGTGGCCATTTTGTGATGGTGCCCAATGGTGAGTGGCAGGAGCCATTTTGTTGTGCAGAGCCACTTTTTGTGAAGAGTGGCCATTTTATATTGTAATTAAAAATAAATACGGGGGGAGGAACATGGGTAAACACTTTACCTCTTGCTTTTGGTACAGAAGTGATGCTGGTTCCAGCCAAGTGTTCTTGGTCAGGGGACTGGAAACAGGGTAGGGCTGCCTTGCTCATTCCATGTTACATGGTGGGCAGCTAGGCCCCTGATTTCTGTAGACCAGTGTGGTATAGCTGTTGAGTGTGTAGTCTCTAACTTGGGAGAACCGGGATTGATTCCCTGCTCCTCCACTTGCAGCTGCTGGATGACCTTGGGCAAGCAATGGTTCTGACAGAGCTGTTCTTTAAAGAGTAGTTCGCAAAAGAGCTCTCTCAGCCCCACCTACTTTGCGAGGTGTCTGTTGTGGGGAGAAGAATGGAAAGGAGTTTGTGGGACAGTTTAAGGCTCCGAGGGAGGGGTAGGGTATACATCCTATCTCCTCCTTCCTCCCTCCATGGCATGGCTTTTAAGGTAGGATTTATAAGGGAACTAATCTATGCAATAACTGCCTTGAGTGCATTTTGGGGAAGAGAGGTGGCTCAGTGAGAGACCATCTGCTTGGCATGCAGATGGTCCCAGGTTTAATCCCCAGCATCGTTAGTTAAAGGATTTGGCAGTAGGTGATATGAAAGACCTCTGCCTAAGACCTGGATAGCCTTTGCCAGTCTGAGTAGGCAATACTCATTTTATCAAGCTTTAAAGCATACAGCACTATTGAGGGGGGCTATTCCTTAGGAAGAATAACAACGATTACCTACTTATAGCAGCAGGGCTTCTTTACATGTGAGGCTGTAGACAGGGATTTCTATTCAAAATAGCATATTACATGGCTTTTTTCTGAGAAAGACAGTATAAATTGCCAGTTCTCCAGATAACAATATTTGCCCCTAAGGCAAAAGGATGTATTTCCGAGTAGTGATTAAGAGCAGCAGACTCTAATCTGGGGAACCAGGTTTGATTCCACTACTCCACATGAGGCCAGCTGGGTGGCCTTGGGTCAGTCACAGTTCTCTTGGAGCTGTTCTCTCAGGAGCATTTCTCTCAAAGCCCTCTCGGCCCCACCTACATAACAGAGTGTCTTTTCTGGGGAGAGGAAGGTAACAGGATTGTACGCCACTCTGAGTGAGAAGTAGGGTATAAATCTGGTCTCTTCTTCTTGGAAGCCCTTTGAAGCCTTTAATGGTATCTAGCTGTAAATTACAAATAGAAATAGAATTTGAGATGGGAGTGCACCAATGAGAACAGCTACATGAAACTGGGTAGCTTAATTGGGCACTTAGAGTGTGGGGGTGAAATCAAGTGTAATCCGAATGGAAAACAACTGAACTTCTAATGGTTTCCTTCTGTGAAGGAATCCTTATCAGCAACATGTGACTTTGACAGTGTGAATGCACGCTGAGTTGGCAAATTGGGTTAGTCTTTGTCACATGTTAGGATTCATGCTATCCATTGCAATACTTCATTAGTACCTTATGTTTTCTTTTTTAGCAGGGATATGGTGTGACTTCCAATCTGATGCTGTGATCTGGGAATCTGACAGCTGGCACGTTGTTACATGTCATTGGTTTGGTCCTAATGAGCATTCTTCACAGGTTTTATAGTGCATTTGTCTTTAAGGGGAGGTCCAGTGAGTTGCCAGGGCCTAGATGAGTGGCGTTGGTTATGACAGGCTATGGGAGGTGCCGCCTGGGATGTGGCAGTGCAGCCAGGGCAATAGTAAATGAGGCAGATGGCTTCCAGGGAGGTTCCAGTGGGGCAGGGGTTAAGCAGGACCCATCAGAGGATCAGCAGGGCTTGGGAGGCCCATGCACTTGGGAGGAATGAAACTACTTCTAGACCTGACAGCCCAGCCTTACTTGCATATAGGTAAATAGGTGCCACTGGAGCCATCTTTGCATTATGGTGAGTGAGCATACAGCCTGCAAGTACATGCATACATCAGATGGTAAGAAGGAGCCAATGCACATTTCTGTGTGCTTGTCCCGGTCTTTAGGATAGGAACCCAGTTTCTATTAAGAAATGATAGGTACTGTGCACTCTTCAGGGTAAGGTTTTTTAGAATAAATAAATAAATAAAATACCTAACAAACAAACAAAATTAAATTATACAGGTTTTTAAAGTGGCACCACAATGTAAATTGGCAATATCACAATTTTAAAGCCGAACTCACCCATTGGCTATGATGGTTCGTTGTGGTTATTAAAGAGCTGGATAAATTGAATACCTAGAAGCATTTCAAAATACCTTATTGGGGTGGTCCCTTGACTTTTAAAGCAATGGATGTCTCCCTGTTCAGGCCTGCTTGCCTATTTGATATTGTCTCATTCCTTTTTAATTAGTTAGGCACACTGAATCCAGTGGAAAATATAATCTATAAGTGTTCCCTCAACTCTAATCAATGATATGTAGTGTATACTGGCATAGACTGCAGTCCTGGTCTGTATAAACTTTATAAAAATGCCCTCCCAAGCAACTGTTTTACATAGTTTGCAGAATTAAGGAAGTGTGAGAACCTTCTTCCAGTTACTGAAACCTGAAACTGTAAATTCAACCTTCTTTCCTCTGTCAATCACTAACTCAAGACTTCTAACGGTTCCACCCAACACCCCTGCAGGCTTTTAAAGTAAGGACTCTTCAGCCCTGCTTACTGCTAATTCTGTTTTAGCCAACTGAATAGAGAATTCACCCTTGGAAGATTTATGAAAGGATTCACACTTTTAACCTCAATTCCTTTTTTTTTCCCAAAGAAAATTTACACCTGAAAAACATGTGACAGAATTCACACCAACCTATAATGCTGATTGGAGGAGCATGATGAATTATTGATAAGGCACCTCTCCTTTTTGTACCACCATGGCTATGGGCCTGCTCCTCGACCTGATGTGCCCCAGTTCATTTTCACCCAGCTGTATCATCAACATGTCTGGTGACTGGTTATGCCAAAGGCAATACAATATGTAAGGAAGAGACTAGCTCTGCCGCAAAAGTGCAACCCTGAAGAACTAAGCGAAGGCTAGAGTGGGAGGCCTGACCTTGTAAGCTGTTACAGAAATGGCTGTTTTGCATCTCACTACAGAGCTATACAGCTAAAATATCTTAATCAACAGCTGGACTGGATAGAGCAGACGTTCCCAAACATATTTGGCCTACTGCCCTCTTTTCAGAAAAAAAAATTACTCAGCACACCCCTGGAAATCTACCTTCAAGAAGTGGAAAAAAAGATGCAGTGACAAATTTGCACTTAGTGAAGAAAGATGTTGTTGTAAATAAGGCACTTTGAAGCAGAAAATCATAGAAGTATTTTATACAATCAACCATAGTAACATTTGCATACGCACAGGAAATTAAGATAATGAAGGATAATATTCAAATAAAAATCACAAATAACATTACAAATAATCCTAATTGGAGGAACCTGGTGCGCTGCTATCAATTTATTAATGTTTGGCTCTATTTTTGTAAGTAGCAATCTTAAATCACCACGATTAGCTATTTGCAGTCAGTTTCTTTTTTTTAGTTAACAGAATTGTGACCACACTGAACCCACATTCCAATAAATATGTTGAAGGAAATGCAATTAGAAACTTTTGTACTACATCTCATTATTCAGGATAAAGTGTAGGTATGTGCTTTTGCACCCAGAACTGCTGGTAGCCATCTTTGAATTTAAATTTCAGTTACTCATTTGTTGTTACTTCTATAAGTTCTTCTTGTAATTATGGAGATTCTTCTGTGTCTGTACTTGAAAAAGGGTCCAAAACCCAGTCGGGCATGTTCATTGTAAGAATATCTTCAAATAGTTGATTAAAGTCAGAATAGAGAGCCTCCAAGTGCTGACAATAGGTAAGCAAGCCTTCATCATGTTTTTCTACTGTTGATAAATTTGGAAACTGGCTGAATTCCCCTCGTTCTAAATTCAAGTTCAAGTTGGATCGTAAAGCATCATCTTTGTTTTCTAGGAACTCTAGCACTGAGTCAAAGAGCTTATAAAACTGATTCAAACAGGCACCTTTTGATAGCCAACAGACTTCTGTATGAAGCAGCAAGTGATTGTATTCTTAATCATTTTCAGTAAAAAGACGTCCAAACAATCTGTCATTCACTGAATTGCTTCTGATTTTGTTGACCACTTTAATGACATAATATAATGACCTATGTAGGCATTCACTCAGATTTTTGGCAACTAGATGTTGACGATGAATGACACAGTGTACAGTGATAACATTTGGAACCACTTTTTTTAATCACTGGAGCATAATCAGTAGCAATTGGCAATATATTACTCAGGGGAATTTCTTTTTCTTTAAAAAGCTGTTCCAATGCATGAAATATCGATTTTCCTTTGGTATCAATTTGCAAATTTTTAGCTAATAATAATTCTTGGCAATTTTTCCCCTCTTTTATGAATCACACATATGCTAAAAGAAAGGCTTCATTTCCTGGCAAATTTGACTCATCAAGCCGTATAGAGAACTGGGATGTTTTTAAATACTCACATAATGAATCTTCAACACCTTGAGCCATTTCATCAATTTTCCATTGAACTATATTATTGCTCAAATAAATTTTCTTGGTAATATAAGATGCTGGCTTGTGTAGCATGGTGCGCATTACCTCACTTATAGTATAGAATTAATAGATTGTGGTTTTCCCGATTTAGTAACCAGTAATGAAATGTTGTAAGAAGCACGCAGCCCATTGTCATCTTTTGCCAATGTCGGGTGTCTCAAAAAGTTTTCTTTAAATGCTTGAAAATAAGATAAATCCTTATCTTTCTTATCAGCATGAACTTTTGTCAAATGTTCTTGTAGTCCTGAAGGCTTCATAGCTTCTTTTGGTAAAACGTTTTGGCAAATCAGGCACATTGGTAATATACTGTTTGTAGGCGACTGAATAAAGCCATAGTTCAAATATTGAATACTATATTGTCTACATGTTTTCTTAGGTTCAGCCATGATATTATCTGTAAAAATTAAAATTTCTGTGTTTATATATAAAACAATTAACATTACCGGCAGCAGGGCGTAAGTTATAGTTCTTCCCACCACTGGGGAATAACCCCCCCCCACACACACACACATGAATTGTTGGGGGGAAAGCCAGCTTTAAATTATCTGGAAATCATTACTGCCTTGCACCCCCACCTCCACACTAGGTGTAAGGCAGCTTACATAGTACAATCCAAAGAGCAATCCAATATCCCCTCCCCGCACATGAATAGTTGAGAAAAAGCCAGCTTTGCAATTTCTTTAACCTTGAAATCATTATTTAGCAGAGCATGAATTCAAACCCAGATCTCCCAGACCCTTGTCTGACACTTAAACACTGTACCACACTGACCAGATGGCTGTCCCAAATAGAAAGAGAAGGTTCTCAAGAACTTCCACTTTAACTTCTGGCTTCCCAGTGTCCTCTTTCTGCAGAGTTCTGCTTCAAAGCATGCAACCAAGTCTCAGTGAATCTGAGCCCAAGTGCAAGGGAGAGTTCGCAATCCTTGGCTTCTCCCCTTCACAAATCACAATGGAAAACCACAACAGAACAACACCAGAGCACTATCAGGGACAACAAATGTACAACACTGAACCCACAAACAGCAGCTGCCGCCCCCCCCCAGCTAAACAAAACACACAAAGGAAACAGCAGTACAGTTTCAAGAAATATATTTAAAAACCAACCAGAAAATTTCAATATTTAAACAACCACCAATAACAAAAGCTGAATCACAAAATTAAAAAATGAGCAAAACCCGCCACCACACCAATAAGCAACTACTATAGTTAATTAAAACAAAGCAAAGCAATCCAACAGAAATACTTTTAAATGCAAGCCAAATAGCCCCAGAAAAGGATCCACCTCAAGCCCATCCTGGCCTACTCCCTCAAAGGAGCAAGGAAGGGCCTGCCTGGCCAGCCCCAAGTAGGTGTTGCACAGCCAAGCTGTGCCACTAAGCAAGGTAAGGCCAGGCTGGGCAGGGCCCTCCCTCAACATGCTGGGCCAGATGTGATGAAGTTGGGCCTGGCTGTCCCTCACTGAGTCAGTTAAGCCCAGGCTGGGCGCAGTGAAGGATGGGCTGGGTATGTTCCTTGTTGGGCAGAGTGAGTCCAGTCATGTCCCTAGTTGTGCCAAGAAAGGTCAAGTACATCCTTTGATGAGTGCAAGAAGGCTGGGACAGACACATCCTTTGTCATGCCAGTTTTTCTTGGAGGTCTCCCATCCATTTACTAGCCAGGGCTGGCCCTGCTTAACTTCTGAGATATGATGAGTTTGGTCTAGCCTGAGCTATCGAGGTCAGGGCTGCTTTGCACTACAGGAGTTTAAACTGGATAGACGTTTTGCTCCACAAATTCCAAACCCTGAGTGTTTTAGGTCATGCACCAAGCCTAGCAGTGGTTGGCAAAAGACTGAGGTGAGTGTCAGGCAGGGTGGAGGGAGATCCATGCCAGTTGCTACTAAAATCTCTTGAAAGTCTGAATTAAGAAGAAGAAGAAAAATCCTTCCTTAGTAATACCATTGCCCACATTATGAAATAATTAATAACACACAGTTGGAACAGAATAATTTCATTTAAAGGTACTATTATAGGTTGCATAAGTCTGAGCTTCTGAAGGAAGGAAAAGAAAACCAAATGCTGCTACCACTTCCTATGGCAGTGAATTCCACATATTAATTACTCTTTGGGTGAAGACATACTTCCTTTTATCTGTTCTAAGCTTAATGCTCATGAATTTCATTGAATGTCCACAGGTTCATTGATTGTGAGAAAGGGAGAAAAGTGCTTCTTTCTTTGCCTTCTCTATCCCATGCATAATTTTGTAAACCTCTGTAATGTCACCCCTCAGTCATTGTTTCTTCAAGTTAAAGAACCCTAACCTTTTAAACCTTCTTCATAGGGAAGGTGTTCAATCCCCTTAATAATTTTAGTTGGACTTTTCTGCACCTTTTCCAATGCTATAATATCCTTTTTGAGGTGCAGTGACTTGAACTGTACACAGTCTTCCAAATGAGGCCGCACCATAGGTTTATACAGGGGCAAACTTTATTCAATAAAACAGGGACTCAAATTTATTCAGTGATTTGTGTTTCATGCTGCAATCTTTGAAACATCATGATTTGTTGAAATAATTAATTAGGGGAGGGGCTGTGGCTCAGTCATAGAGCATCTGCTTGGCATGCAGAAGGTCCTCAGTTCAACCCCCAGAATCTCCAGTTAAAAAGGTCAGTCAACAGGTCAGGGGTGGCCAAACTTGCTTAATGTAAGAGCCACATAGAAGAAGCATCAGATGTCTGATAGCCACAAGACATGAACAAATATTACGCACATAGTTTTATTGGAAAATATGCACATTTGCTTTTTATTAACATTTACATTAAATAAAACTGCAAGAAATAAAAACAGAAGAGGTTAAAACAGATATTGATAATGATATTTAAAGAGACACATACTTTCTTCAAGCTGGCTGGGAGGGGGGGCTTTGAGAATGCATTTAACGTTAAAGTTGCTTGCTTGCTTTCTCTGCTCCCCACCCCCTCCTCAAGCCTACCCAGGAAGGGGAACATTGGCTAGGGAAGGGAAGACCAGTTGGGGGGGGTATGCCTGCCCTTCACTTCCCCAGGCTCCCTACTGGGAGCCACACAATATGTGTAAAAGAGCCACATGTGGCTCCTGAGCCACAGTTTGGCCACCCCTGCTATAGGTGATATGAAAGACCTCCATCTGAAACCCTGGAGAGCCACTGCCGGTCTGAGTAGGCAATACTGACTTTGATGGGCCGAAGGTCTGATTCAGTATAAGGCAGTTTCATGTGTTCAGAATCTCTATTTCATCATTAGATTCATCAAATTGTCCTTCTACAACTTCTTGATGCTGCTGAATGTCTGAGTCAGTGATTGCCCTCCCCTTGTTCCCATTTTCTCCACTGAGTTCAGAGAAAGGGACAACTCTTTGAAATTGGTGTACATTTGTATATCAGTTAATCAAAGAACTAAATGAAATAAAACTGTCTTTGTTAATGACTTTTTATGTCCATTTTTCTTACACCTGTCTGTCTTAGAGTTCACAGAGGTCAGCAGAAGGTAACAGGGAGGAGAGGGGCTAATCAAACTAAAATAGACATTGTTGTTAACCTGCATTATTTTCAAGCCAAGGAAGCTCTGTTTTTGTTGATGATTTGTTGTTGTTCAGTCGCACAGTCAAGTCCGACTCTTCGCGACCCCATGGATCATCTCCCGCCAGGCCCTCCTGTCTTCCGCCGTCCTCTGAAGTTGGCTCAATTTCATGTTCGTTGCATCGATGACACTGTCTAACCATCTCATCCTTTGCCGTCCCCATCTTCTTTGACCTTCAATCTTTCCCAGCATCAGGGTCTTCTCCAGGGAGTGTTGATGATAGTGTCTTTAATTAAAGGCCTTAAATTACTTAAATATATCTAGCCAATTCATCAAGGCTAATTTTCTGTATCTTAGTCTCTATGACCACCAAAATGAAGTCTACATTGTTGGGTAGGGGAAATTAAAATAGGATATAAATAATCCTTAATTCTAAATTTCCAATATTTTAAAGTAATGAGGAAAATACAAGGCATATAGTTCCCAATGAAGTGTGAACATGTTTAATTTAGTTATGCATCACCACAACAAGGTTGCGTTATGAATATATTTTCAAATATATAACCTTATTTCTTTGCATGATTAATAGCAAATGTTTGCTTAAACCTGAACATATTTACTAGCAAGCATCAAAACTAAGGCCTTGCAAAATTAGAAAGGGAATTTAATAGCCAGGAAATGTATATTAATAAAGATATTCAACTGATTTTTTCTATATAGTCGTCACCAGATGATGTAAGTCCAAAGTTTTTAAATTGACTTTACCAAACTTTCCAGCTATTTCTGAAATGATTTTTTCTCTCTCACTGAAGTACTCACAGTCTCGTATAGAAAAATTCAGGTCGGTACTCATGTTGGCCTGAAGCAGTAGAACAAAGTTTGAAACCAGTGGCACCTTCAAGACCAACAAAGTTGTATTCAAAGTGTAAGCTTCCATGTGCAAAGCACACATCTTCAGACAAATTGGAATGTAAAAAAAAGCAGATAGGGCCTACATTTAAAAAAAATGCTTCAGGGCAACGTCAGTTCTTTAGACCATCTGCTGGCCATTCCTCCATTAAAGCATAAACATCTGTGTAAGATATTTCTTACTATTCCTGTTTGAACAAGAGCTTTGTGCTGCTCAAAACTTGGAGTCCTTCCTTAATGATGATGATCACAAAATCAGAATCAGGAGAACCACTTCCAATTCCATCTTGTATTTTCCCATCTTTTCTTTTTTCACCATTTGTTATTAGATATTCTCAAAGGGTGAATATTGGATCTGAAGGGCCAATTGGTCTGATTGAACAGAACAATTCGCATTTCCCTGACTTTGGTTCCATTGTAAAATAATAATATAGTCCAGAACAATTACTGGCAGATGACAATCTTGGGAAATGAATTCTACAGTTTTACTCAAAATAAAAAGCCAGTGTTAAAAGCTCTATTGATTATTTAAATCCAATCTCCTGCTAGCAGTAACATTAAGTAGTGTGGCTCCTTTCTGTCTGTGTCATGCTTGGGAGGCAAAGAGAAAGGGGCACTGATCTGTTATTTACCAAATATACTAGAGGAAAGTCTGTATTCCCACTGTCATGGAGAAATAGCAGAAGTCTTGGGGAGTAGGGCAGAAACACTTGTTTGCTTTTGTTATTCATCATGTCTCTGTATAAATTTAGAACTCAGTCTCCCCAAGAATTTGTGCCATTTACTTCTTCATAATCAATGAAGACTGTGGCAATAATGCTTTAAAATGCAAATCAACAACTAACATTCATTTTGGCGTTGCCTTTGCTGTAGTGCAGTTGGTCTCACAAAGTTTACTTCTTTTGGAAATAGTGCTTTTGGGAGGCAGAGAGCAGAAAAA